TGCTGAATGTTTGCATTGATGACTGAAAGACATCTTCTGCCTACATTTATCTGTTTATTACAGTGTGTTGAATTCATGTTAATCTGTATTTAAAGACATTTCAATTAGTGGAAAAAATTGCAGGGAGGAATATAAAAAAAAAGTCTAATCAACCAAAACTTGACCCCCATACCTCTGCTGTCCCCCTAGGGGTCGCGGACCCCCTGTTGAAGACCTCCGATCTAAAGGAATGCACTATTGCAACTTTACCTATTAAAGTATCACATTTTATCTGCAGCTTAAAAGATTTTTATTTCATAAATATTAGGATTATACAGACCTGCTAGTTTTCAATCCAATAATAACATCCAATTTTTGTTAAATTGCTTAAAAGCATTATTTTTCAGCTTCATACTTATTTGTTGACATTTAAAGACTAAACATGTAAAAATAATATCTACTGTGCAGCATGAAGAAAGTTTTACAGCCAAAACAATATTCTTAGAGAGATGTAACAGAAATGGACCTTGGTCCCGTTGCCCCTGGAGACCTTACAGAACATTTCACAGAGTGAATATCATGCCTCCAATTAAAACACGGCAGCCGTAGTGTAATATGTAGGTTGATGACCCAAGACTGATTGAGATGACTTTAAGGTCTTTCCTGCAAAACCTTTTTATTCTAAAAAATGTCTACAATGTGTAATTTCTGAATTATATGTATATATTTGATTTCTTTTGCCAATTTCCATTTACCTAACATGTTCTTTGCTTACAACAATAATGGAAAAATATAACTCTACAAATCAGATGCACCCTTCATGGGAAAGTCAGAGAGTAATGAAAAATAAAGGTTCCTCTTGATTATGATTATATTTTTTAACAGAAGAAGAAACTCACACTCACTCTCCGTCTAAAGCAAACACAAGGCACCAAATCCAGTTTGCCATTGCTATCTAAAACAAACAAACAAAAACAAAAAATATCTTGCTCTCAAAAGGCCAAAAAAATCATATTATCGTGTCATACAATGTCATAAAGTACATTTATAAGGCTGAATCTGTCCCTTTTAAAACTTGATAAAGCTAAAGTGCCAAATCAGTGTGTGACCACTTACACCATAATGACATTTTTTTATAGTTTCAGTCTGGTTT